AAACTGACATGTGTGCTTGATCACTTTAAATTATTTTAGGTTGGGAAGCAGCCGCAAAATTTATAAAAGAGCCGTCTCTTCCGTAATGGAAGGAGCTTCCAAGTCCTCATTAATGGTACCCTTTTTAACCTTCCCTTCAAGTTGTTTTATTTTGCACACCTGAGTTCCCTTCAGCTTTCCTCTACACTGCTCTGTTGTTCTTTGAAATGCCTTTTCTATCCCTTAAGTAGCTAGATTTTTCACCAGATCTCACTCCTTCAGAAGAATGCAAATAAAACTGCTTTGAGCATCAATCTGCGTCCACAGGAATCTAGGCTTTATTTTAAAAAATAGTTTCCAGCTACAACGAGCAGAAGTTGTTTTCCATTTTTTCCAGTACAGTGCCTTCCTGATGTGACTTTAAGTAAGAAAAAATGGATAGGACAAAAGCTATCTTATCACTGAAAGCATTTGTCCGTGGCAAATAAGATTCCTCTGAATGAGAGGTGCTACATTAAATTCATTCAGATGACCACAAGATCAGTAATGAAGTCTAAACCTGGTCTTTGTGGGGCTCAGTGCGTTATATAGCCTTGCCATACAGAGGCTGATAAATAAAGCAAATATACCTATTGGGGTTGGGGTTTAGTTGTAACTGCGTGAGCTTTGAACTAGGTGAATGGTGTCTTTTTGAAAGAGTTCGTGTACAGAAATCAGCATCGTCAGGCCTTGCAATAGTCTGCGATTCTCAGCCAGGGTCCTCTCTGGGGTGCCTTGAGATCCTTTCGGGGTGCCGCAGCGCTCTTAGATGCGCAAACGTGATTCACAAGATAAACCCGGAGATGGCAAATAGGAAGTCGTCATGTTAAACGTATTCTGACCTGCCTCGATCTTTCCGAGATCTCCGCAACGGATAAATTGCTCTGTTATTTTTCTGCAGTGAGAAAACAAGTGAATGCTAAGAGCCAGCGTTTTCCTTGCGTCTAAAAAAGGGTTGTTCTCGCTGCTAAACTCCTTCTGGAAATAAGCCTTGCCAGGTAGCGACTGAAATATTGTTCATTCAGTGTGGCTAGCTTCTTTGTGCAAGAGAAGGTCTGCAGATAAAATGAATGTTGCCCCTGACCTGCCTTGGGTTGCATTTCACTTGCATTTCCCTAGAATGTGGCTTTCATGGGAAGGTCAATAAGTGCTAAATACATCGTTGAAAGCACCCAGCTCTTATTTCCTTGTAACCAAACCTTACCTTTGAAAGAAGTGATGCTTCTAAAGGAACACTGTTTTGCTTAAATCATTGTGGAAAGGCATAACCTGGAGGACACTGGGTAATTTAATGCAAAGAAAGTGGAAGGATTTGGACTATCTAGCTGCATTTCCCTGTAACCCGTCAGCTGTGTTGTGGTGCCTTTGTTTTAAGGCCAGGTGCTTTGCGTGTCTTGTGATGGAGGATAAAGCATGGGAGGTACCGCAATCTGTTTCATATCAGTCATCTCAGTGAGCCCGGTTAGCACAACAGGCAAGGGAATATCAAGGCATTACAATGTGTGCCTACACAACTGATGTCTGCCTTTAATGTTTGGAAGGGAACGGGGACGCGCAGCTCGGTGATCGTTTTGTCCCCTCGGCACCCATCAGCCAATGAGTTCCAGGAGCATCACAATGCAACGTCTTCCCTTCAGTATATTCTCCGGTAATTTTCCTTTCTTAAGTGCTTTTTCGTTTCTCTGGGAAGACTATTCTGCAGCATAATCCATCTCCTCTATAGGAAGTTTATTTAATTGACAATAAGCCTAGTTCAGCTATCCACACACTGAGTTCTCTTCTTCTTACTTCCAAAATCCCAGTAGGTTTTAAATCATTGTTGTTACTTTTCCGAGTTTTCTTTTGCCTTGTTCGTTATTATCCAATGCCCCTTTCCAGCCAGGTAAATAATCCCGGCTAGTATTTTTGGGGCTGAGAGCCGAATCCAGTATTCGAGTCATGTTCTCTAGAGCCACATACACTGATTACCTCTTCTCTTTTTCATTGCGTGATGCCTCTTTGGTCCCCAGAACATTGCTACTCCTGCAGCTCTTTCTGCTTGCTATAACCCATGATTTTATTTTAGTTTTTTTTCCAAACAGCAGATTTCCCTTCCAGTTTTTGCTTCCAACAATATCTGTGGTGGGTTAGATCTCACCAGAGGCATTTGCTTACATTTTGCTAAGATGCAAGTCGTATTTCTAACCCCTGTAAGCTCTGGCAATTTTCTTCAGGCCTTGCTGCTCTTATAGAAGGGTTTTCTCCTTCTGAGTAAAATTTCTCCGTCTGACAAACAAGCGGTGAAGTCACAATCTGGGTCGACATCAGACTATTGCCGTGGAAATGAGTGATGTCACAGATTCATCACTAGCACTTCATTCTAGCCCCTAGGAGTAGGGCCAGTGGGCTTTTAGGGAGAAGAAGCCTTTTTTACCATCTCTGGCTGCTTTAATTAGCAGAGTCAGAATCCCACCTGATGATGTGAGGGAGTAAGTGGATTTGTCTGGTTTCCCTAGTATGAACGTTTTCTAAGGCTGTGTCTAACGCGGGTACGGTTGGGATCTGCAGTTCTTTATCACCAGGCTGCAGCACTAGAGCCTGATATCTTTAGCAAACTAGATGCAAACTGAAGGGGGCCTTTTCAGGGATTAGCCGTTCTTGTTTGGGGGGGGAAAAAGAAGTAATGACACTTGATAAGGCATAGTTATGATTGTGAGACAGGGCTGATACAAAATACCTAGACTGAATCCTTGTAACATCAAACGTATTCATGTAGAAAATTGTAATGTGTGTGTGGCTTCATGGGG